TGTGTGTGTGTGTGTGTGTGTGTGTGTGTGTGTGTGTGTGTGTGTGTGTGTTCACGTGCGTGCGCGGGAACGCCCGCCTCCAAACCTGCAGTGTAGTGATTGTAAGCATATGCTCACGCTGGCAAGCCCACTTGTGTCAGCTCGGGTGTGTGTGTGTGTGTGTGTGTGTGCACGCGTGTGTGAATGCTCGCTGCGCGCGCGCACCGGTCCGGAGCGTGTGCGCGCGCCCTCGGCTTCCCCCGCACTCACGGGCAGCCCGGGGCTGGCCGCCGGCGCCTCTTGCCTCTCCGTGCCTGCGGTGCGCGCCCTGCTGTTTCTATAGGAACCAGCACGGCGCCGGGCCCCTCCGGCTGCGGCCCCGCGCGCGAGCATGCCCAGTGCAAGCCGCTAGTTTGGCTCGGGTCTAGGTTTCCAGTAAGTGGCATGCGGGACTCGGGAGCGATCCCAGGGAGCTGAGCCGATCGCCTTTGTGTGCAGAGAGAGGAGGAGGTGGTGGCGGACCCCACCCGGGGAGCCCCACGGCAGGAACAATGCTAGCCTGCCTGACCCGCGGGAACTTACTGGACGTCCTGCAGGAGGGCTTCAATGAGGTAACTGCCCTGCTCCTCCCACCCCCAGCTCCCCGTCACCCCGCGCCTCCCGCCTAATCTCCGGAAGGGGATGGGGAGGGGGCATCCTCCCCATCTGGGGGAGCCCAGAGCACATCCTACGTTAGGGTCGAAGAGCCTGGGTGGCAGAACCAAGGTGGTGGGTGCGGTGCAGACAGATGCACGAACCTGAGGACATCGGAAGGGCGGTGGGCCTCTCTCTAAGCTGGACGACTACCTTCCTGAGCGCGGAGGACAGTAAGGACCACGCACTCAGGAGGCATCTCCTTGCAGGGAAGGTGGTCCCCACGCCTCTCAGGGATTCTCCAGGGACATCCTTGAGGGAAACCCTGAACAGGAGGCAGCGGAGCTCTTTTCTATTTCAGGAGCTAACCGGATGAGTCACGGGAGGGGTGTGGTGGTGTGGCATTGGAAGAAAGTTTGAGAGGGCAGGAGACTGCCGGTGGTCCACACGAGGGGCCCTTTCCAGTGTGATTTTCCTGAGTCCTGCAAGTTAGGTCCTCCACCACCGAGGACAAGGTTGACCGAGAGGAGCAACCTGGGTCACAGGCCCAGTTTTAGGAGCCAACAGGGGCTCCCTCCTATGAGAACTACTGTGGGGAGCCTCAATCTGACAGGAAAAGGTGGACTAGGGTTGACTCAGGCTTGTTTTCTCCTCTCAGAATTCTGCTACCTCTTCCATTTGCTTCTTTTGTGGCCCAGGCGGTTCTGGGGTCTTGTTTGAGACCTTTGCCATTCGCCCCTCCCTGTTCCTCACCCATCCTTTTGGTTGCCTTAGCCTGGCAGCCACGAAGGCACAGGCTGTTGGGCATGGCTTCGTGCCCACTTTCCCCTCTGTCCACCTCTCCCTTCTCCATGGATTTCTTAAATTTAAGATTTCTCCTGGTTGGGGGAGTGGGCTTGGGCATGCTCTTCGAGTGACCTACCACTGCCCTGCTCTTCCACCCTTTAAGATAGCCCTTGTGTGTTTAAAATCAGTTTTTAGTCAGGTAGCATAGGAAAACACACCCCGGCCCCCCCAGTGGTGACTGAACCTAGGGCCTTGTATATGCTTGGGGCTGTACCACTGAGCTACACCCCAACCCCATTTTCTTCTTAAATATTAACATTGCAGGCAAGATGGGAGAGCCTTTTGTGCCATGCTCAGCCCCCCCTTCCCTTCCCAACCTTTCCCCCCAGAGGCAACCAACCATTCTCACGAATTTCCATGTCGGATTTTTTTTTTTCCCCTCCCGCTGCACGACAGGCTGCCTCCTTGATCCCTGTTTCTAATTAAGAAGCCCCACATTCTGACCTGCCTTGGAGCCTCCCCCAGCTCTGGCCCCTGTGCCCCAGCCTTGTTCCTGACACACACAGAGAAAAACGGAAATGTTCTGCCAGTGTGGCCAACTGTGCTGGAATTTTCCTTTGGCTGAGGGGTGTCGCCACCTTCGTTAAAGGGCAGAGCTTGTATTCTGCCTGCCCATCGGGCCTCCTCGTCTTCACATCACTCCTGAATGAACACATGTAAGGGAATCGGTAACAAAGAGCTACAGACCCAGAGGTGAAACACAGGCAGTCAGGAAGCACACCTCTTTAAGTCCCTCCAGTAGCCACATTCATCCTGTTCTCTCTCTGCACCCCTGGGCCTTCTCTGGTCCTTAGCTGTGTAAATCCGACTCATTCATTGTGGCACAAGCCCCTTGGTCCTCTCACGGCCCTCCCCCTCTTCTGTTTTAACCCGGCTCTCTGGTGTCAGGACCCACCTTCTGATTAGAAGGCAGCTGGCACCGAGCCAAGTCCTAGTCTTTGCTTTCGGCCGGTTTTTCATTTCTAAATCTTTATCGAAAGACCCATGTGAAAACGGAGTGGCCTGGCCATCATTTCCATGCCTCTGTACACGTATATTACCTAACATCCAGTTCTTCCAGAACAAGGGGAAAGGGGCGTGGAAAATACTCTTTTTCCTATGGTGGTAATGGAATATTCCTAAAAACAACAGCCAGACAACCTTGCAATTAATTCTTCTGTTTAGAGCAATTCAGTAATGTGTCTTTGCCCACTGTGGTGTTTGAATTGTCCACCCACCCCATAAATGGCTCTCTCTGCAGACCCATGTACTCCTTAGTAGTAGAATCCTTAGTAGATCTGAACTCTGAAAACCAAAATAGCACTTTGATTTTATACCTCTAAGTAATATAAATACCAATGTTACATTTGAATGATTCCCTAGTTAACATAAATTTTCCCATACATAATACATTTTCTTCATCCCACCCTGCCATACACTTGCACATAATCATGCTGCTGAACAACAGTCTGAGGGAAGTAATTGGTACGGTTGGTGGGGGCCTTGTTTGATCTAGTCCAGGCTCCAGGTTGCTTAATAGGCCCGGTAATATTCAGTCTCTTTTGCTAGAATCATATGATAAGACTGTAACTGGAGACTTAAAAGACGGTGTCAGAATACGCTTAATTCCTCTGAGAAATTCTTTCTACTGAGGCTAAGAATGCCACACATGCATTCAACTACCTCTTGGGAATAATCTAAGTATATCTGAAGCTATCCTTCTTCACCCAGATGGTTTATTATAGGTCTGTGTGGTTAGGGCTGCAACCTCATTCTCCATGGCAGAGAAAACTCCCACAGGAGACAGGGCTATGGCCTTAATTGGTTAATTATAAAGAGATCCAGCAGCAGAGAGAAACCCTGCCCTTTGAATCAAGGCTTCCCTCTATGTATTGTTGGTCTCTCCTCAATCCATATGTCACTAAATAGAACTGCGTGTGACAGAATCTTTTCAATCACATTGCCCACCTAGAGTCCTGGCCTCAGCACGCCTGGCAAAGAAGTCACAGAATTGATTCATGTCAGAGATGCTACAGCAATCTCTTGTGTTGACATGGTTAATTTTGACTGTGAATTATCCATAGATTTTGGCTACTGTCATTGGTACCCACCTTGGTTATGTGGGTTTTCTGTAATTCTCTACTTCCCTATTCTGCTTTTGTTTCAAAGCTGTTTGTGTGTGTGTGTGTGTGTGTGTGTGTGTGTGTGTGTGTGTGTGTGTATGGTGTGGTGTGTAATGTGGTGTGTAGTGTGTGTGTGCATGAGATGTGTGTGTGGTGTGTGTGTGGTACGTGTGTGTGGTGTGTTTGTGTGTGAGATGTGTGTGTGTGTGGTATGTGTGTGTGTGAGATGTGTGTGTGTGTAGTGTATGTGTGTGTGTGAGATGTGTATGTGTGTGTGAGATGTGGTGTTAATGTGTATGTGGTATGTGTATGTATGTGTGTGTGAGAGAGATGTGGTGTGTGTTTGAGATGTGGTGTGTGTGTGTGTGTGTGTGTGTGTGTGAGATGTGTGTGTGTGTTATGATGTGTGTGTGTGATATGTGTATGTATGTGTGTGGTATGGTGTGTGTGCAGCCTCGAAATTGATGTCAAGTGTCTTCTTCAGTTGTTCCCCCCTTACTTTTTAAAAAATAATTTGTTTATATATATATTTTATGTACATTGGTGTTTTGCCTGCATGAATGTCTGTGAAGGTGTCAGGTTCCCTGGAACAGGAGTTATAGACAGTTGTGAGATGACATGTGGGAGCTGGGAATTGAACCCGGGTCCTTTGGAAGAGCAGCCAGTGCTCTTAAAAGCTGAGCCATCTCTCCATCCTCTCTCCCCTCACTTTTTGAGACAGGGTCTCTCACGGAACCTGGAGCTCACTGATTCCACTAGCCCGCCTGGCCAGCGAGCTCTGGAGATCCGCCTGTCTCTGCCTGCCCAGTGCTAGGATTGCAGCTGGGTGCTGCTGTGCCTGGCATTTTACGTAGGTGCTGGGCACTGGGTCTTCCTGCTACATAGCAAACACTTCACTGCCTGACCCATCTCCTGGGCCTGTTGTTTCTGACACGGGCTCTCATGTAACCCAGGCTGGCCCTGAACTCCATATGTAGCAAAGGATGACACTGAATTCCCGATCATCCTGTCTCCATTTCCGCAGTCCCTCAACACCTAGTTCAAGCTACTTGGTATTGGTTGTTAAATTAACAGTGTCTTTGGCAATATGAATTTCTGCCAGTGTTTTTCCTGGGATAAACCTCCTTTTTAAAAACTTTGGTGTTTGTGTTGGGAGACTTTAATAGACCTACGATTATGGTATGGTTTGACCAATAACATTTGTTTATTCATTCATTGGATGAGGGGAGTACATAGAGCTATTGAAAATTGTATAGGGAGAGACAAAAATCTACTGGGAGAGCTCCAGCAGGACGCTTAATATGTCATAAACACCACAAAAGAGTAATGTTTATGGGAGATTATAGAAACACTTTCTAACTAATAAAGCCATGAAAGGAAGCAAATATTTATCCACGTTTGTGTTCACTGAGGCCAGATTCCCCTCCCCTTTCCCACTGCCTAGCTGGTATACGTGTGTAGGCTATCACTCACCAAACGCTCACTGAATTACTGTGTTTACCAGGCACTCTGCCAGGCTCTCGAAATAGAAGCCGAATAACAGAGTCTGCTCCCTAATGGAGTTCACAGGCCAATGAAGATAAAGAAAGCCTCATGCTTGGGAACTTTGTGGTGATACAGACATCCTGCTTGTGGAAAAGAGTGAACTTCTGCCTAGCTTTGATGTGAACGGCTGGGAGGTTGGAAGTTAAGGGAATGACTTATGAAAACATTGGTCAGCTGGAAGCCGGTTGTCTGACCACGTGGACCGGCAGATTTTTTTCCCCTACCCATTTTTCTCCAAGTAGGAAAGGAACATATTAAAAAGCCACCTCGGGGTTGGGGATTTAGCTCAGTGGTAGAGTGCTTGCCTACCAAGCGCAAGGCCCTGGGTTCGGTCATCAGCTCTGGAAGGAAAAAAAAAGCCACCTCAAGGTTCATAGGCTTGGCTGGGGGAAGTAGCACATCGCCGGGGTCCCAGCTACTCAGCAGGTTGAGGCAGGAGGGTTGCTTGGTCCACATGTTGCATTTTTATTTAGTCACCATGGGCAACATAATGAGTCCTTGTCTGGGAAAAAAAGGCTGGGAGGACGAGGGCGGTGAGATGGTGAGTAGGCATTGGCCACCAAGCCTGTGACCTGAGTTCAGTATCCAGAACCTCCATGGTGGAAGAGAAGAACTGAGTCCTGCAAGTCATTCTCTACACACACACACACACACACACACACACACACACACACACACACATGCGCGCGCGCCATGCCAGGCATGCACCCCCCCACCCCCCCAGTCATATATAGATAAATATATAAATAAATGTTTTGTTTTTAAAGGGAAGGGTAGGGGCAGGGAATTTATCTGCTCGACATTCCCTGAGAACAGAGTGTGAGCCTCTGTCT